CTGAGAATGTTCCAAAAAAAGAGAAAATATCCAAGAGCGGCATTTGTGTGGAGGAAAATGCCTTGTTGATGTCAGAGGAGAATGGGCAGACTGGTCACAGATGATAGAAAGGGAACAGTAACTCCAAAATCTCTGAGGAATGTTTCCAACAGCTTGTTGAATCTATGCCATGAAGAATGAAGGCCGTTCTGAAGGCAAAAGGGGTCCAACCCGGTACTAGCAAGGTGGACCTAATAAAGAGCCCGGTGAGTGTAAACTATTAAGTTTACTTTGGATCACCTTATGGGTATTTTATCCTGAATACCTATAAATGGTAAGAACAGTTCCATAAAAAAGAGACAATATTATCCCAATAAAATTCAACTCCAACTGTAACATCCTCATGTAACACCTCCCTTCAGATTTTAAAAATACACACCTTAATTACAGCTGTCTTGTGACAGTAACACAAATGGGTCCCTTTCTCTTTTTCATTGGCATTATTGGTAGGTCATCCTCACTGCTGGATAGAATGGTGTTCATGTTGCGACATCTGAATGCTCTTCTATGGAGTGTTCTATTATGAGCCCAGAGCCCAGGTGATGGGTTCTCAGGAATGTTGGGTGTCATTCAATCTGAAAGAGGAGCATTGGATGGGGACATAGAGGGCAGAGCTGGATCATGGAGAGGGTAAGTAGTGGAATGCTTAGAGGCTATAAGGGACACATAAATGTACAAATTATCCTGACCCCACAATCTGTTTTACACTAAAAATGTTGATACTAAAGCTGACTATATATCTAGCAAATTTCATCCAGAAGTGGCCAACATTGAGTCAAGGGTAGCTATTTTGGCACTCCCTCCCACATCCTTTATTTTGAAAATCAAAAAGGGCCGTTATGAAAATTGTTAAACAGCCTCTGCATTCAATCAGATGTATGATCCAATGAGATGTATCATTCAATCATATCCAGTCCCTGCTAGAGTATTCTGAGAGCCTCAGATGCTGAGAAATTTCTCTTATCACTGGATTGAAAGAGAGAAATATAAATGTGTATGGCTTACAATGTATTCTCTTTACTGCCAGACAAATTCCCAGACATTGGAAGTCTACACATGTCACTTCAGTAGCAGAATGGGCAAACTTAATGAGCTGATTGCAGGGAAAAAACTCATAGCATTGGATAGAGATCACATTGATAAGTGTTCAAACATCTGATCATCCTGGATTATTTATGAAGACTCAACATTTGTAAAGGATTTGATCTCCTCTCTTTCCATATACTATGCAAACATTTGGACCATGTGAAAGTTGATCCCTATTGCCCTCCATTGCCATGTAATTGTTCCTCTTCTAACTAGAAGATGTTCCCCATAAACCCTCCAAAAACTCTGTCTGTAGTAATGACGTTGTTTGTTCTATTTTCCATTTGTTTTAGCTTCTTTTGAAGAAAAAATAGACAAGATCAGAAAAATCATACTCAATAAGTAGTCTGTGTTTTCAGTTGTGATCGGCTCTTTACATTTCTTTGGACCTTATTGTGACTTTATTCTTTTACTTCACTTAGGTACCCGCAACTTATTTACGGTAAGAATATTTATGATAACCATGTATAGAACAATTGAGTATAAAATGCCAGCCTTCTCCATATGTAATAGGAGATTCTCCACTCAAATCAGCTGCAAGACATTAAAATAATATTTATTAATGTTAACAGAACACATTTAGCAGTTAATATGAGATGATCAAAGACCTGATAGATTTAGAGAAATATATGATGAGGCTGATTAGATCTCACTTTTACAGCCTCTGTTCCTTTCATGGGTTGTGTGTTTGGTCTGTTTCTCTGACAATGAGTATCTAAAGCCCCCCACCACCTCTGTTAGGGGGAGGTAACTGAAGATTGGGGATCAGGTGAAGACATGATATGGTCATGTATACAATACAATGGTAAAATGGATTTCAGACTAGCAATGGGTGACTGGATTCCAGAGGTGGCTCTTTAATTAGGCAAATTAGGTGGTTGCCTAGAGCCTCTCACACAGGGATGGGCCTCACACCGCCTAATTTGCTCACACATTCCCTTCCTTTTTCACGAATATACAAATCAGCTGTTCAGATGCAAATTTTTGGAGCTGGCAGCCCCAAACCTCATAAAACAATAGCTGGTTGCTAAGGAGCGGGCCGGAAGCCGTCTGCCGCGTCCCTAACAACCGATGATTCATCAGCTGTCAGCGGGTTTCCAATTCAAATTCACAATAGCATTTTATTAAAATGATAAAAGCACACTTACATCTACAGTAGGTAAGTGTACATCAGCAGGAAGTGTAGAGATCGGGGATTTCACATCAGTGAGGCCGTACACACCGGCGGCGGCTCACAACCCCAATGCCAACCTAGAAGGACCGCTCAGTACATAGCCAGTTGTCAGCCACATGCAGCGTCCAACACCACCGTATGTAAATCAGAAGGGGTGATAATGTGTTTCAAGGGAGTTTCCTTCTTTGTCAAACCTCAAACCTGTGTATAGTCTCTCTGATGTGACATCCCCGTCCCACACTTCATGCCGATGTACAGTTACCTAGCTGTAAGTGAGATTTTTAACATTTTTATAAAAAAAAAACAAATGGGAATTTTAATGGGATCCTGTGCTCCTGTCCTTCCTGTCTTTGAGCTTTGGTTGGATCAGCCCAGATCTTAAAAGGATACACTGTAGGACCCCCCAGAATTCACACCACCTGGTTACCCCCTCAGCCTTCTTGGAACCCTCTTCGGTTGCCAGGCAAACATATTGGACATTGGAAACTGGGACTTGTGCGCTGTGGTGGTTTGTCTTTTCTTTTTCTTTTTTTTTCTTTACAAGATGAGGGTATCCTGATCTCCCTGTTGGATTTGTTATACATTCTAGTGAAAGCAAGAATATCCAATGGTGGATGAGAAATTAACAGTAAATGCTGCCGGAGATATCTCACAATGGGAATTTCTAAGAGATGTAAGCAGCGAGGGGTGGATGGAGTCCTAGGGGTTTATTTATAAAAATTTTGCAGTGCAAATGTCTCATCACCCCACAAAAGCAGGACCATTTTTCAGCGGGAACACAGGGGAACAGAGTTCCGGCACCTTCAGCAATGAATGTATGTAATGGCAAGGGATGCTGTGGTGTTCTGGAGAGTCCATGATACTGGCTGCTGGGGATCTATTTTTACTGCAGGGGATCTATTTTTGTGGGCTATCTATTGTGCTGGAAAGGTCTGTTGTTGCTGGTGGGGGATCTATTGTTGCTGGGGTGGGTCTTATGTTGCTGGAGGGTCTATTGAAGATGGAAGGGATCTGCTGTTACAGAAGAGTGTACTGTTGATGACTGCTGTACGGTCTATTGATGCTGGCTGATCCATTGTTGCTGTTTGGGGTATATTGTTGCTATGGAGTATTTTTTGTGGGGGGGGGTTGTTGCTGTGGTGGGTAATCTATTGTTGCTGGGGGGTCTATTTCTGCTGGAATGTCTATTGTTGCTGTCTATGGGGAATCTATTTTACTGCTTTTCTTGTTATCATGATCAAATTCCATACAAATTACTTAGAACCATTGTTTACATTGCAGTCACCAGGAGATGTCATTTGGTAGGAGTCAAGTGACAGGGTTTCAAAAATATAAACAATAGGTGCAGTGCAGTTCTACACTTGTACCCTCAGAGTCAGTAAACAGTCCATGAGCTGGTTTTTAGTTGTTTTTATTAAGGGGTTAACAAGTTGGATGGGGTCTAGGAGTATATGAGATGTCCAAAGAACTATTGAGGACAAATTTCTTAGCAACTATGTACATTTGGACTAGCGAAAAAAGAAAACACAAAATAGCAACAATCTCTGTTAAGGAATGCTATAGTCATTTTTGGTGTACCTCCTCAGACCCCAGATGAATCCTCCCCTCCAGTCAGCTGTAGTGAGGGTATCACTGAGGAAGGAGGTCCCAAGAGTTTGCAGTTAAGCAGTCCTGGATGAAGACTAGTTGGATATTGCATCTGGCCACCCTCTCCTCTTATCCCCAGGGGGTGTAGGAGTACTCACACTGTCCTTGCCTGCTAGCATGGTGGGTTGGTGACTGCCTTCAGACCTTACTCTGTGAAGACTTCTTCCTTGCTAACAAGTTGTCCTCCCTGGGGAGACGTTGAGACAGTAGAGATCCTCCCGTCCAGCACCCTGCCTGTAGGTAGGTTCCTCTCCCTGGAGCCCCTTCCCAGGCTTCTCACTCCAGCCTTCCTCTCACTCCATCTTCCACCTGACTCTGCACACTTCTCCCCAGGCTCTGTGATGTTTGAGGGTTGCCCTGGTCACCATGTCCAGCCTCCTGCCAGGGAATTGGCCAAGGTCCTTCAAACATGCAGATCTGAGCCTTCTCCCCTCCTCCTCCTCCCCTGTTCCAGAAAGTTCTCTACTTTCTGGAAGGTTGAGAGGGCTCCAGAAGCCCTGACCTGCAGAACCTCCCAGCCTGTACTAAGGTGAACTCACTGCTTCACTCCCAGACTGACTCATCCCAGGTTGCTACGCGGCCTCTAAGAAAAAAAAAAAACAACAACAAAGTTGTTAGGATGCTGGTGGGTGCTAGCGCCCTAACAACCAGGAGCCCTGAGCAGGAGGTTATCACATTTATCAGTGGTTGTTCCCTTCATACTATTCACTCTTTTGGTAAAATCTTAGCTTACACAGCGTTAGGCCATTTTCTCTGTTGGTTGAATGTTCTTTAACTTTTATGGTTGAATGTTGAAATAGCCTGGGGTAGGGAAACAAATAGAAACTCACTTTGTACACATATTACCCACTTGAAGACCACATATGTATACAGTACGTATATGCAGGGCCGGTGCTAGACTATTATGCACCCTAGGCAAGACCAGCTACTTGAGCCCCCCCCCCCCCCCCCCCCCAAAAAAAAAAAAAAAAATATAGAAAAAATTAAAAACAGTAGAAAATATTAAATCAACAAAACATAAAACTGCTACATTTCTTTTAATTTTCAAAAATAAGTGCCAAAAGATGCCACCAGCACCAATATTAAAGACAAAATCAATGTCAGGGAGGAACTGTATCTGTGGCTGGCAGTGGCAGGGTGACAGTTGCAGTGAGTGGAGGATGATGGATCCACACTCTAAACAGATCCCAGGCTGAAATTCGCCAGGCAATGGGGGGAGGTAAAATGTTGTGACAGCAGGCAGCCCAGCCCTCATACACACAGGGAACACCTGAACTGAGCGATCCCACACAGTGACAGATCTGACACAACACACCACCACCAACACTGACACCGATCAGCAGGCCCAGCAGGCACTAGAAGAGCAGGCTGTGGGATTATGATGATGTCATCACTCACTGACACATTGCACATGTGATGGATGGCCGGGTCACACTCACACAGACTCGAAACATCAGAGTCACACATTGCCTTCCTCCACAGGCACAGCTTTGCATCCACTGATGAATGGGAAGAGAAGGACTGGAACTCCACAATGATCAGCAGCCGCCAGCCAACTTGCAGTACGGGACTGTGTCTGAGAGGAACACTGGGAAGGGGCGGCAGCTCAGCTGCTACACTGGCCTCAGACACCTGGCATCTTCCTCTGTCCTTTCTTCCTCCCCTCTGCCGCCCTTCCCCTCAGCTGGAGGACCATTCATGATGTGGTGGCGTTGCACACAATGAGAGTGCAGGCCTGTGCTGTGCCCAGGTGCCCCTAGGTGGCAGTGCCCCTAGGTGGCCACCTAGTTTGCCTAGTGGAAGCACCGTCTCTGCATATACATATATAAACATTGGAGTTATCAAGTGGTTTACCAGAGTTATGGCTGAAGAAATGTGCCATTATCCTGCTACCGTTTTTTTTTTCAGCGGCCGCTTTTCATATGAAAGTGGTCCTAGTGGCTCTTGAACTGCTGAATCGCTTTCCATAGTGGTGGAAGGGGACATCCCCCCCACCTCCTGCGGTTCGCTGGTGTTTCTCAGGCTTACTGTTAATGCCGGCCAGCCCCAGAAATGATCTGATGGTGCAGCCTCCTCAGGATGGTGGCGATGAAAGATTCTATGGTCTTTGATCACCTCTATCATGATGGTGGACCAGAACGATGTCATGACATTAAATCCAGTCGGCGGTGGAAGTAAAACAAATGTTTTTCTTTTTCAAAGCAACAGTTCAAAAAACATTTTTAGTTTAAACCTGCTTTTAGAGGTTTGGTGTCTTTTTGACCTCAGATCTCTTCTTCATGAGGACCTGTCATGTATATTTCTATTACAAGGGATGTTTACATTTCTTGTATTAGGAATAAAAATGATCCCACCCATCCCACCGTGCTCACATGCAGAAGTGAACCCATACGTCAATTGCGTGCGCATATGTAAGTGGTGTTTGCAAGGCACATGTGAGGTATCGCCCGCGATCGTTAAAGTGAGAGCAATAAATCCAGCGCTAGACTTCCTCTGTAACTCTGAACTGGTTACCTGTAAAAATTCTTAAAGCGTCTCCTTTGGAGATTTTTAAGTTCCGTAGTTTGTCGCCTTTCCACAATTGTAAAGCATGTTAGGTATCTATTTTCTTGCCGTAACATCCTCTTTTATATTTTACAAAAAAATTGTTTTTTTTTTAAAAAAATAGCATTTTAAAAAGAGCTGCGCAAATACCATGTGACATAAAAAAAAATTGCAACGATCGCCATTTCGTTCTCTAGGGTGTTTGCTAAGAAATATCTAATGTTTGGGGATTATAAGTAATTTTCTAGCAAGAAATATCAATTTAAACAAAACATCCCAGAAAATGTTTGGTCTTCAAGAGGGTATAAAACATTCCAGGTGTTATTCGTTGTGTGGAAAAAAGTATAGCGAGCGCTACAGACAAAAGTATACAAGCAGCTAGAACACCAAAAAAGGCAACCAATCCTCCCTGTAATAATCAATAGTAAAAGAAAAGTAGGTGCAGCGCTAAAATCAAAAGATACAAATAATTCTCTATAGGATAAATGTATAAATATCGGTGGTTAAACAGATATGCCACAATGGTGAATATTGCGTTTAGTCAATGAAAAGTGCTGAAGGCACACATGAAGTCCTCGTTCCAAAGTGATGGTAATAAAAAGGTGAAGAAAGTCCTGGAAAACAAATAGAGTGCGCACTCACCAGAGGTGCGTTAAATTAACGCATGTAAGGAAAAAACTGCTGCAAGATCTCTCCAGCATCAGGGCTCTGGTCAGATCGCACTGCGTCCTATCCTCTGTCTCACCGCGAAGAGCAGTAGCCAAGTTGCATCCAAACGTGTAAGCGTCAGGGAACTCCTTGGTCCAAAGAGACACTGTGGGAGATGGTACTCTCAAAGAGAGCCCAATGAAGGACGCCACATAGTGTAATACTGTTTGACTCCAAGTTTAATAGTCAAAGGGGTGAACAAACAAAATGACTGACCATTGGTAGTTGGCCACATGTAGTGGCTAGATGTCCATAAGCTGTAGCCTAGATGTATGGACATCTAGCCACTACATGTGGCCAACTACCAATGGTCAGTCATTTTGTTTGTTCACCCCTTTGACTATTAAACTTGGAGTCAAACAGTATTACACTATGTGGCGTCCTTCATTGGGCTCTCTTTGAGAGTACCATCTCCCACAGTGTCTCTTTGGACCAAGGAGTTCCCTGACGCTTACACGTTTGGATGCAACTTGGCTACTGCTCTTCGCGGTGAGACAGAGGATAGGACGCAGTGCGATCTGACCAGAGCCCTGATGCTGGAGAGATCTTGCAGCAGTTTTTTCCTTACATGCGTTAATTTAACGCACCTCTGGTGAGTGCGCACTCTATTTGTTTTCCAGGACTTTCTTCACCTTTTTATTACCATCACTTTGGGACGAGGACTTCATGTGTGCCTTCAGCACTTTTCATTGACTAAACGCAATATTCACCATTGTGGCATATCTGTTTTAACCACCGATATTTATACATTTATCCTATAGAGAATTATTTGTATCTTTTGATTTTAGCGCTGCACCTACTTTAGGTGTTATTCGTTACTTTTGTGTGAATGATGAAACATCTCCAAAGCAGTTTATTTTTTTAAACCGCTTCCCACCTGGCCACTGCACATTAACGGCCAGGTGGGATCTTCATTGTTCTGCGTGAATGTTCCTGAACTTCCATCAGAACATGGCCTGGCACGTGGCCTCATGGCTGTGCAGCTGTGTGCTCTCGGTGTGCCTGTGTCCCCTGGACATAGCGCAAAGCCGCTCGGCAGGAGGGCTGTCTGATTGGCCCTTCTGATCACATGATTGCTGTGTCCAATCATAGCCATCATGTAATTTCAACACAGCTGCCATTCAGTTGATTGGCTCTGCCTCTCCTCACACAAAGCCTGCTAGTAAGGAGAAGCAGAGCCGATCTGTGAAAACTGTGAGTTACATACGCATTGATCACCCCAAAGTATCCCCCACACAGCTGTCAGTGCACCAGTGATCCACATCTGTCACACAATACCAGTGATCAACATCTTCACAGTACCAGTGATCCACATCTGTCACACAGTACCAGTGATCCACATCTGCCACACAGTACCAGTGATCCACATCTGTCACACAGTACCAGTGATCCACATCTGTCACACAGTACCAGTGATCCACAGCTGTCAGTGCACCAGTGATCCATATCTGTCACACAATAGCAGTGATCCACATCTGTCACACAGTACCAGTGATCCACATCTGTCACACAGTACCAGTGATCCGCATCTGTCACAGTACCAGTGATCCACATCTGTCACAGTACCAGTGATCCGCATCTGTCACACAGTACCAGTGATCCGCATCTGTCACACAGTACCAGTGATCCACATCTGTCACACAGTACCAGTGATCCACATCTGTCACACAGTACCATGGATCCACATCTGTCACACAGTACCAGTGCTCATCCACATCTGTCACACAGTACCAGTGATCCGCATCTGTCACACAGTACCAGTGGTCATCCACATCTGTCACACAGTACCAGTGATCCGCATCTGTCACACAGTACCGGTGATCCACATCTGTCACACAGTACCAGTGATCAACATCTGTCACACAGTACCAGTGATCCACATCTGTTGCACAGTTCCAGTGATCCACATCTGTCACAGTACCAATGTAAAATTCCACATCTGTACCAGTGACCAACATCTGTCATGGCCTACCAGTGTCCAATCCACATCTGTCACAGTGTACCTGTGGTCATCCACTTCTGTACCAGTGATCAACATGCACCACTACCTACCAGTGTCAAATCCACATCAGTACCAGTGAACATCAAAATATCTAAAAAAATGATACACCAGTGAGGAGGCTTTCCAGATACTGAGTATGATGGACAAGAGTAGCGGGGAACTCTCTCTGTCAGACTCAGATTCTGAGTATGAGCCAGTTGAAAGCATTGAGTCAGCAGCAAATTCTGAGGAGGAGAGAGTCCAAACAAAGAGGTTCCGGAGATCTGAGGTGGAGAGAATCCAAACAAAGAGGTTCCGGAGATCTGAGGAGGAAAGAGTCCGCAAAAAGAGGTTCTAGAGATCTGAGGAGGAGAGAATCCAAACAAAGAGGTTCAGGAGATCTGAGGAGGAGCGGACATCCACCAGTAGCACAGTGGTGAGTACAAGCAGCGCAGCACTCCCAGAAGAAGTAGGTATCCACCAGTAGCACTACAAATCCTGGTGCCATGGCGAGTACAAGCAGGGCCACATTCCCGATGATAGGCCAGGCACTAGTAGCAGGGTTTCCCGTCCACAACGAGGTACGGCCCATACTAGCCTCCCAGATGTACTTTTATATTCCACATGGCTGCCTGCTAATTTGGCAGAACCTGCAATTCCCCATTTTACAGCACAGCCAGGCCCTCAGATACAAGCAGAAAATGATACCCCAACTAGTTTTTTTACATTTATTTTTTCCTAGATTGTAAGCTCGAAAGAGCAGGGCCCTCGATCCCCTCATGTTTTGCATTGTATTGGTATTGTTCTGTCACATGTTCTGTTCCCCTCTGTAATGTACAGCGCTGAGCCAACTATTGGCGCTTTATAAATACTGTATAATAATAATAATAATAATAATAAAATAAAATACTAATGATCTGCTAAATTACATTGTGGATCAGTGTCACTTGTATGCCAGCCAATATATAGCCAGCAATCCTAATTCATCATATGCCCGCCCATTTGTGTGGCAACCCCTCACTGTGGAGGAATTTAACATTTTTCTTACTCTTACTCTGAACATGGGACTGACAAAAAAAATGAAGTCCTTGCCTACTGGTCTGCCCAACCTATACATCATATGCCAGACTATTCCTCTTGTATGCCCAGAACACGCTATGAGATGATAATGAGGTTTTTG